AAAATACCATTTTTCATGAGTAAAAATAGCTATCCATTTAGTAAAAAAATGTATCCAGCCTCGAACATAGGTCCTGTTTGCTGTCTCTCCATAACGTTCCCTCAACTTGCCTGTGCTCAGCTAGTCATAATGGGGAAATTACTTTTATGATGTGACGTTAAAACTTGCTGAGATGTTTTGTATTCAGGGCTACTAGCCAGCTAAAAACTGGACTTGGTTAAGACATATTGAATGTTCTCATTGGGTAAACAGGGCACAACTTTCTACCCATTCTTTGATTTACTTTATAGTTATAACCTGTGAAAAATTTTCTGAAAGCAACAGGTTAATCACATTCACTGTTGGTCGGGCTGAAATGTTGGTACTGAGGGCTGTAGAAAGAACATACAGTACTGTATTAAAAAGGAGAAGGTGTTGCATTATGCATCATATTTGTTCTGAGGACCTGAAGGAGGCCAGTTGCAGACCAGTTGAGGGTCTCTAGGTAAGATAAAAGGTGTGAAAAAATAGAGATGTCACCATGTTCGGGCTCTAATAAAATCAGGAAGAGGAGGTAGAAATATTTTTGCAATAACTAAGAAATATCCAAAACACAAGGCCTGTCAGAAACGTGGACTGTGAGCATCCTGGCACCTGTTGGGAAAGTACTATGGCAAACCACAATATTTTGGCTAAATTCTTGGAATATATCGGGGGCAACTTTTTGTTTCAGAAAGTGGAGGATGTGACCAAGGGTACACCCCTTTTAGAGTTGAGTCTGACCAACAGGGAAGAATTGGTATTGAATCTGAAGATGGGAGAAAACAATCACACACAAAGTCTGTTATTTCCAGGAAAGGCAGGAGTGAGAGCAGCAGAATAAGGACAGATTAAAATCCAGAGGAAAAGGGAGTTTGCGAGAGCTGGCAGTTGCCCAAGGACACAGCATTAAAGACATAACTGCAAATGATCTTGGCGCAAGGGACAGATAGGAAGACTGGTCGGAAGTCAGTCTGGCTGCATCAGGAGTTCTGTAATGATCTGAAAGCCAAACAATAATGGTACAAAAAGTGGATGCATGGGTGAATTGCTAAGGAGGAGTGTACAAAAGAGCAGCACAAGCATGTATGGACAACATCGGAGAGGCTAAGGCACATAGTGAGTTACACCAAGTATGCTTGCGTTAGGAGTAAGAGAAAAGAAAGAGACACGTGGATGGTCTACTTAGCAGGCAAGGAGGCTGTGAAGGCTAGGAGTATAATAGAGTTTAAAGAGAAGCTAGATAATTTCCTGGAGGTTAGGTCCATAAAAGGCTATTAGCCAGGGGATAGAAAAGGTGTCCCTGGCCTCTGTTTTTCAGAGGCTGGAGAGGGATGGCAGGAGACAAATCGCTTGATCATTGTCTTCAGTCCCCCTCCTCTGGAGCACCTGGTGCTGGCCACTGTCGGCAGACAGGATACTGGGCTAGATGGACCTTTGGTCTGACCCAGTACGGCCGTTCTTATGTTCTTAAGAACTTGGGTGTTTCATGCTGATTTTGCTTCAGTCTTCCCTGAAAAGGCTGATAATTAGTATCAGCAACAAGGGGGGAGCCAAAATTAGGTGTATTCAAGTCGGCCGGATCTGATGACGTTCATCCTAGGATACTTGAGGGTCTACCTGCAGCAATCTCTGAACCTTTAACAATTACCTTTGAGAATTCCTGCT